CCCTATGGATGAGCTCTGGTCAAAATTTTACCTGTAGGAATCGGATTTCAGAGAAGTACCCCGTTGGAATCGACGATATACACCTAAACCCTCAGAATGTGTAAATCTTGTGATGCCAGATGCAGAAAAACAGTGTCATTCCCCCCTCATAGATAAGATCTGGTCAAAATTTTACCTGTAGGAATCGGATTTCAGAGAAGTACCCCGTTGGAATCGACGAGTCTGTGGCCAATTCCCAATATCTGACCACTAGGAATCGGCCCAAGGAATCAGCTAATTCCCAATATCTGACCCATAGGAATCCGCTCATCCATATGGGGGGTGCGGATAATAAATGGAATGACCCAATAACACAACATAATATAATTATATATATATAATTAATTATATATATATATATATGTGCCGCAAGATAGCAAGAATTTCACATTTCTACACATAAAAATCCAAATAATTCTAGTTCTACTCACCAGAAAGAGATATATCTAGCAATATGATTCACTTCCAACACGTTTTCTTAAGTGTTTACTAAATTAAAATGTTGCGCCGAAATCAGCCGAAATTGTACATTGGGCTGATACTTCGTTTAGTCGAAACTTTAAGGCTCGAGTTCAGACATGAACCACGGCAGCTTATTGTAGATTACTAGAGGGTCCTGAAGGGGGGGTTCCAATCCCATTTCCCACCTGAAATTTTGGCAAAATCCCAGTCCCAGTTGGATTTTTATTAGAAATCCCAGTCCCAGTTATTGAAATCCCAGTCAATAAAAACCCCTTTATTTATCGGTAGAATAAACAGTTTTAAGACCTTTTAAGCAAGTGGCGGATACTTTATGAAATATTAGGGGGGAGTTCATTTTTAAGAAAAAAATAGAAAATTTTTAAATTTGAATCCCGGAAATGGCATTTGCAGCATTCTGAGACACGCATAATCATAAAACCCAGAATTCCGGGCGCCAGAGTATGCCTGTAGTGTGAATAATATAGTTAACAACAAAAATCATGACCAAAAACACCAAAAACGGATCAAAATTGTTTTTTAAAATACTCAAAACGCAGAAAAATTGGGAATCGACTCGCATTACCTCAATCCCATTCCCATTTTTGAGGACTTCATTTCCCATTCCCAGTGGCCAAATCCCAGTCCCAGCAACCCATATCCCATTTTCCCAGTCTAAAAATAGATCAATCCCAGTTCCCATTTTACCCCTTCAGGACCCTCTTACTAATATCTTGATATCTTTTTGCGTAGTTCAGAATATGTGAGCTTATTGTAGAATACTATACCAGACCTGCCAACTCTCCCGACATACCTGTGATCTCCCGGTCTTCCGGTAGTGAAACATTTCTCCCGGTATGCGAAACTGGTAAATATCCTGATTCTTGTCGATCTTATTGAATTTTATGGTCTTTTATCGAGAATAAGAAATATCTGCGCGAGGCTGCGTAGGAGACAAGTAAAACTGTAAAACTAAAAGGGAAAAATTTAGATTCTATAACGTTCGGAAAGTCAAGCTTGAAATATTTACTTGCTATATAGTACAGCAGTCTCGCCCATGTTGTATAAGATGTTACAACACGGCCGTTTATGCATGCATGGTACATGTATACTGTACACACGTAAAAACGCACAAGTTGTAACAAAGAAGGGAGCAGACTTGTAGCAATGCTGTTCCAACAACTTGTCAACAGGATGTGTTCGCCACTGCTTGTTCCCAGCTTGTTAACAAGTTGTCAACAGCTTGTCGACAACTTGCTACAAGGTTGTTGAGCTCAACGTCTTTGTTACAAGTTGTTCCAACAACTTGTTATCGTGCGTCCTGCAGTTCAACAATCTGTCAACAAGTTGCGAGTGACAATCTTGTAGCGACTTGATAAAATAACAGCATTGTTACAACTTGTTGACAAGCTTGCTACAAGCCTGTTGCGAACACATCTTGTTGACAAGTCGTGAGATTTTTATGTGGTTAGTACATTGACATTTGACATTCTTCGAATGAATTTTTCCCGTCTATTTCTAGACGATCCCCATGTTGAAGCGGACCCAGTAAGCGCCATCGTGAAAGAAGGTGGTCAGGTCAACCTTCGTTGCACGGGCACGCCAGCAGTGGAGTTTCTTTGGTACAGAAACGGACCAAAAATGATCAACGACGGAAACTCTCATGTGAGCTCGTTCGGAACACTTTTGTTGAGCAATATCAAACAATCGGACGCGGGGATGTATGTCTGTGCAGCTAAGCTCACATGATAATACTGGATATCTGGTGCCGGAAGTCCTTGGACAGTTGGACTGGATCAACAGAACTTACTGTATGATCTAACGATACAGTAAGTTCCGTACAACATCAGACCACTTTAGGATAGCTCACATTCAAGAACATGTACTACCTCTGCATGATCTAGCCATACTTAACTCAGCAGTAAGTTCTGTACAACACCAGACCACATTAGAATAGCTCAAATTCAAGAACATGTACTATCTCTGTGCGATCTAACCATATACTTAACTCAACAGTGAGTTCTGTACAGCATCAGATCACTTTAAGGTAGCTCACATTCGGGAACATGTACTACATCTGTATAATCTAACTATACAGTACTTACCTCAACAGTAAGTTCTGTACAACATCAGATCACATTAGGATATAGCTCACATTCAAGAACATGTACTACTTCTGTATGATCTAGCCATGCTTAACTCTGCAGTGAGTTCTGTACAGCATCAGATCATTCTTGAGTAACTCAAATTAAAGAACATGTACTACCTCTGTATGATCTAACCATGCTTAACTCAGCAGTGAGTTCTGTACAACATCAGATCACTTTAAGGTAGCTCACATTCAAGAACATGTACTACTTCTGTATGATCTAACCATGCTTAAAGCCCGTTCTCCACTAGGCGAATTTTTTCGCGCGATGCGAAGCGAAAAACAAATCTTGGCAATGTGATTGGTCAGCGAACAAATTCGCCTAGTGGAGAACGGGCTTAACTCAGCAGTGAGTTCTGTACAGCATCAGATCATTCTTGAGTTTATTAAATTAAATAATCACACTAATCAGTATCATTTTCGTAAACCTATAGGTGTGGTTCCAGAATCGCCGAGCAAAGCATAAACGTATTGAATAAGTCAAAAACTCGATGCAGGGTTTTTCTGAAGAATCTCTTACGATGGACTTGACTGATAAAGACACAACACCCTACGACAGTTATGAAGAAAGAATCGAGGAAGTCAAAATGAATATTGGTTCATCATTCACGCGATATATAGCCTTGAGTAACAATGTCAGAAATTCAATATCCCACCCTTATCCCTGTGTGCCCGTTTTGGTGTACAACCCGCGTACAGGCAGCGATCCTATTGTTTCAAGATGATTTTTATATCAGATAGCTTTGTGGGATATTATACTGTTATTACGAGTTACAGCTTATATTAGGTATGCACTGAAGTGTATACATTATTCAGCCCAAAACGTTTGTAAATGCATGTACAAATATTTAAAGACATTGATTGTATATTTATTATTGTAAATTATAATGTAAATAACATATTTTAAGAATTGTATATATAGTATTTGGTAATAGGTTACATGAATAAAATTTTCATATTTATCAATGATAAGCCTTTCCCTATTTCAATGCAATGTAGTTGTACACCACATTGCACCATATTTGGGCCGAAAGTGGTGCATTTTCCGGCGCGTAATACAAATTCATACAAAATTTGCAAATTTCGTAGCGCTATATTTTCCTCATTTCCATTTCGCGGCCAAACTTTGCAATTTTACTAATTTTAACATGCTCTTTCTAGTTGTGGTGATGGATTTTGTTCTTCTTGCCTAGATCAAAATTTAGTCTACAGCCGGAATCCTCTATTAAATGTACTAACATTCTGGTAAATACTATCATATACTATCAATATTATATATAGATACCTTTAAATTGATCATCAACTACAGTCAGTTAAACTTCAGCATATCCCATGATATGTGGCTTGATAAAAGGTCCAACATTTCGGGCTTCAAACGATTGACATTTCACGGACTTAAATCCAGCTTTTCTTATGGAGTCTTCGATATCTCGCATCAAACGACATCCATCAGCGACATAAAACCACCACGGCTGGTTCCATTTTTGAAGAGTTAACGTGAAACCTTTGCCTACGAACAAATTGTCATATAAGCTTATTTCCTTGCACGAGATTCCGAGGGAAGGTCGTTGCTAATCAGATGCGTTTAATCTACACACGTAAAAACGCACAAGTTGTAACAAACCTGCAGCAGACTTGTAGCAATGCTGTTCCAACAACTTGTACATTTCCTACGGTGTACGTTTCGGTACATATAACACATACCTTTTACATGCTCCATAAAGTAAAATCTTCCTCCCTACAAAGAATAGAAGGCAAATCTTGGTTAAATGAACTTTCTCGTGATATTCGGCACATATATACGTGGAGGATCAGCGTGTTAGTACTCTAGAATAAGCTATCGTACTTTGTGTCTGAACTACTTGACTGAAAAGGATTAGGTTTTGATTCTTAGTCAGGTGGTTATAACTAACGTTGCTGACCTCGAGATAAAAAGTTTTGCCGAATTGTGTCAAGTGTACGACGCGGAGGTGACGAAAAACCGCCGCTATTATCACAGTTTCACTTCACGGGTAAAAACTATGGATTGTTGTTGGTATAAACAAAACCAGGGACACGAGAAAACCAAAGTAAAACTAGTCTCCCATTATGGTTGTGATGTTACTCTGAGTGTATATCCACACCGGGTAAGCTTGAAAACTATGCCTGGCCACGGTGGATATATACACAGTCAGAGTAACATCACAAGCATCATATTCACCTGAGTACATTACACCAACACAGAAAAAATCATGATAGTCTCTCATTGTTAGCGACTGTTTTTTAGATGCGTCGCAGAGCTCCCTATTGCCACAACACGTCGCGTTGTATGTGACTCTTCCACAGTCCCTCGTTATATTTGGGTTAGTACGGCAGAATATGCCCGTTCGCGGGTTAGACCCATTCCCATCATCCAACGCGAGCGACTGGGAACGAGTCAGGCGTTGTATCATAAAGAAAGCATAGGATAAATAGGGGTGGTAGTTAAACAACCCAATCGCATTAAAAAAGTTCGGTCGGGAAACCGTAACCAGCTCAAACCTTGTTTCAACTCACAGGTTTCAAAACTCGGATGATCTCCTTCAAAGCTTGCTCTACTGACTCGACAGAACACAACACCAACGTAGAGACGACCGCTGACACAGATTGATCTTGTATCTTTTTCATATCTTCAGCCACGCCCACGATGTACTCCTTTAGACTGACATGAGGGTAGTACTTCTTGGTGTGAACGAGGTAGTAATTCATATGACGATTAGGGTCCAGGGCAAGCACGGAACAGTCGCGCGGGTAGAAGGCAAAATTCGCCCCAGTCCCCGCTCCAATCTCGAGCACATCACCTTCCACTTTTTCCAAAAGTTTTTCCATCGTTTCAAAAAGTTCTGTTTTCTTCGACCCCAACATTCGGTTGTGAAGCTTTGCAAAGAAATACATGCTGAAGGCAAAGAACGGCTGGGTGATTGTATGCACGATTGGCTTGGCCAGTTTTATTGCAGCGAATATAACTACGACTGTAATGACTGGCCAAAACCAGGTTTCGCTTGACCACATAGCAGGCATCATGGAAAATGTAGACTTGGAGATGTCAGCCTGTTAGAAAAGAAAGAAAAATGTTTAATGGAAGAATGCTTTTTTTAATAATTATGGAGCTATCTAGTATAAATAAAGTTAGTTTAGTTTAGGTTTCCACCTGTAGTAACACTGGATCAATAAGAGATGATCCTTACTGGACCTCTAGGAAGAACAGTTTAGAACTGATAGAGCTATCCAGTATAAATAAAGTTAGTTCAGGTTTTCTCCTGTAGTAACACTGTATCAATAAGAGATGATCCTTACTGGACCTCCAAGAAGAACAGTTTAGAACTGATAGAGCTATCCACTATAAATAAAGTTAGTTTAGTTTAGGTTTCCTCCTGTGGTAACTGATGATCCTTATTGGACCTCCAGGAAGAACAGTTTAGAATTAAGAACTGATGGAGTCATGGAGCTATCCAGTATAAATGAAATTAGTTTAGTTTAGGTTTTCTCCAGTAGTAACGCTGAAGGCCGCTAAAACCTCTAGGAAGAACCTCGGGAAAGAACAGTTTAGAACTGATCAACTGATCGCTATTTATATCGAAAGTATTATCACGAATAAAATCAATCCATTGCTTCCTATATCATATGTCAACCTGCGGATATTATTGAATGTGTATTTAAAGCTAGATCCCCGTTGAGCGAGACGTCTAGAAGTGAGAAGGCTTCACCTAATGTTGGCCAAACACAACAAATAAGTCAACAATTAAACAAACCAAGAAATACTGTAAACGCAACACAAATATACAAACAAGACTTCGGCCATGTTCAAAATCTTACCACTGCTGGTTTTGAGCGCTTTTGTGCTGTCGTGCGTCAGTGCGCAGACGAAACAGAAGTTGAAGAAATGTCCTCGAAGCTGTCGATGTTTTAAAGCAACTGGGAGGAAAGGCTTGGACGTCGACTGCGGTAACAAGCAATTAACAGATCTGCCGACTTTACCAAAGAACACTGTAACACTGTGAGTTTCAATATATGTTGTGTATTCGAGCGCGCAGTCAATGTAAATACTCGAGCACCGTCGACTCATGTTACATGCGCTGGTTTTGACGAGGCTTATATAATTATTAGTGGTGTATTGTGTCAATATTTATTAGAATATTTATATAGTTTAGTGTTTATAATGCAAATCGATAAGATGGAATTAGCGTCTTTTGTCTATTATGTGCTATGGCGCCTTTTCATACACGCACAAAGCTAGCGTTGTCTAATGGTATATTTTTAACGAGAGATATGAACATACAGTCTCAGGCTTGCAAAACAGAATCAAATGACGAACTACCAGCGCACGCTGAAAGATCAATATTTTCTAATACAAAATAATTATTATTCAATTGGCGTAGCAAAAACTCTATATAGTGCGAATTATTTGCGGATTATGTATTTAGGGGATTTTATTCTCTTTGTTTCAAACCACGTTGACTGTCAAAAAACTAGTGTAAAACAAGCACTTTGTAGAATTTCCCGGCTGCAATTTTTCCCCGTCAGCAGTTTAAAATTATTTTCGCCTCTCATTGAAATTTGAATATGACCTATAACTGCTTCTGACCATTGGCAGGCCCGATTTCGAGACCTCGTATAAAACATTGAAACAACAACAAAATATCCAAATGAAAATACGGTCACGGGAAGTTTGTTTAAAGTGAAAGGCTAACGACAAATGCTTGTTAACCCCCCACGTGAAATTTAATTAATTTCCATAATCTGGAATGTAATCCCTTCGCTTTTCATAAGACGCATGTGGCATGCGATAACGATATTATCTCTAAATTCTATTTCGTAGGCGTGCTCCCTAAATAGACATTGTATATTTGCCGTTGCATGTGATTTGTTTCTGAGCAACTGAAAAACGTTAAAAACACAAAGGGCTACGAAACCTTTTCAGGTAGTTCAGACACAAACCACGCGGAAGCTTATTGTAGAATACTACCTACACTGGACCACCACGTTTGAGATCTCTTTTTCAGGTAGTTCAGGCACAAACTACGACAGCTTATTGTAGAATACTACCTACACTGGATCTCCACGTTTGAGATATCTTTTTCAGGAAGTTCAGACACAAACCACGGCAGCTTATTGTAGAATACTACCTACACTGGATGACTACGTTTAAGATATCTTTTTCAGGCAGTTTAGACACAATCTACGACAGCTTATTGTAGAATACTACCTACACTGGACCACCATCCACGTTTCAGATATCTGTTTCACATTTAATATGTATTCTATTTAGAGTGATGTCAGATAACCAGTTGTTGCAGATTTTGCCAAGAAGTTTCAGTCGCACCAAGAAGATTCAAAATATGTGAGATATACTACTTTCTTTAAAAACTTGAATGAATTCAAACTGGGTTTTTCTGTTTGTCGTTTGAATAAACGCAGTCTTTTATCCGATTGGTCTTAGCTTATTATCAAGGTGAACACATTTTTCTTTTAAGATATTTGTATAGGAACCGTATCAGACGAGTGCACTGGGAAGCATTTCAAGGGTTAAAATCTTTAAAGATTTTGTAAGTATGGCAAACAATTTATGGGGTGGTCAGTGCATGCGGTAATATACAATCAAGCAGTCTTTGCATCAGATGCATTTGACGAGAATTCTTCCAGTCTGACTATACTAAACTCTGTGCGGTGTTCCGGTATCCTCCTGTAGTAACACTGGATCATAAGAGATGATCCTTACTGGACCTCTAGGGAGAACAGTTTTTAACTGATAAAGCTATCCAGTATAAATGAAGTATAGTTTAGTTATCCTCCTGTAATAACACTGGATGAATAAGAGATGATCCTTACTGGACCTCTACGGAGAAGAGTATAGAACTGATAGAGCTATCCAGAAAACTAAAGTTAGGCCAGTTTCAAACGTCGCTCTTCTCATGTGCAGAATGCATTACAAACAATAGATAATGAGGCATTTCACCTCGTCATTTATTGCTAAATTAATGCGTTTGGCACATGACAAGCGTGACGTTTGATACAGGCCTTACTCCTTAGTTTAGTTTAGGTTTCCTCCTGTACTAACAATGGATTAATAAGAGATGACTCTTACTGGACCTCTATAGGGAGAACAATTCGGAACAGATAGAGCTATATTCAGCATATATAAAGTTAGTGTATTAAACATATGTTACAATGAACAACTAACACTATTGCTTAAACATAAAAACTCAATACTTTTGCTTTACAGATCATTGTTTGATAACGACATAACACAAATCAACAATGGAACATTTAAAGATCTTTCCTCAGTGACAAGAATGTACGTCTTCTTGTTTTATCGAGCCGTCCCTTTAGTTCATGCATGCACAGTTGCTTAGAAAACATGAAGTGGTACCATATGTACAATATTTAACATTGGACACGTGAAAGTCCGTCTCTTAGTAACAGCTCTCAGCGGTGGACACTATATACACAGGCAAAAATCTCACATCTTGTAACAAGTCTGCCAAGAAGCCGTCAACAAGTTGTGTTCGCACTGCTTGTCCCAAGTTGTCAACAAGTTTGGAACAAGCTATTAACAACTTGTATCAACTTATGTCAACAACAGCTTGTTCCAAACTTGTTGTTGATACAACTTGTATCAACAACAAGTTTGGAACAAGCTGTGAACAACTTGTATCAATTATCAGATTTGTTCCAAAGTTGTTCCAACAAGTCCGATACAGTCATGATGTAATAATATCGCTATAACCAAGTAACATTCTTGTTTTATCATGACTGTATTGGACTTGTTAGAACAACCTCGTAAGTCTGATAATGCCATCAAACTTGTTACAAGTTGTTAACAGCTTGTTCCGAACTTGTTACAACAACTGGGACTTGGACAACAGATTTGTAACAACTTGTTTGCAAACCTGTAACAACTTGTTCGTTTTTACGTTACGCTTGAGGCTCAGTTGTCCTGATCATGCAATGCTCGAATTATTCGTGTGACAACAACGCCTTCTCTTAATGTATAAAATTTCACCTTTTACAGATATCTTTACCAAAATCAAATCCGAAGTCTCAACAAACAATCATTTGTTGGTCTTTCTTCCCTAGAATTTCTGTAAGTATATGTTTATAAAGCTTAGCTGTGTTTGTAACAACCATCCTACTACGACATTGCGTCTTTATTGCAGATCTCTTCGAGACAATGACATTGAAGACATTGAACCAGGGACATTTGCACCATTGGGCAAACTGGAGTCGTTGTGAGTTTATAGCTTTACTTAAAAAACTTATTAATAATTAATGAGAGAAAGGAAATCAGTACCGTATCGGTGGTTTTATATGTGATAAAAAAATCATGTTCCTTTACATAAACTTTAGCTTTGATTTTCTCTTTTAGACAATGTTTATTTTTAAAATTACTTCGTCAATGAAGTCATAAGAAGGGTCGTTTTTTAAACCATTTAAAACACTTGTAGTCGTGCTTTACCAGCTATAAAACACTGTTCTGATAATGTAAACATACAGTAGAATGGTAGAAAAGCAAACCAAGCATTTAATTTTTACCGCTGTTCTGATAATGTAAACATAGAATTAAACAAATGTAACCAAACATTTAAATTATATATGCTTGTTTAACACTTAGTCAGTTTCAAACATTTCTTACAAATCCTTCAAATCGTAGAATTTTACTTGTAGATAATTATTACTGTGATCACAGAAACTTTGATAGTATGAGCCAGCCTCAATTAAGCATAAAATGGAACGAAGGTAACGCAGGATTTTTCTTATATAGGTTCCTTTTTCGCAACAATTTAACAAGATTGACAAATGGCATGTTTAAGGGCTTGAAATCACTACAAACTCTGTAAGTTTTGTAAAATTGTAAAACTTATATCAGGATTTATTTTTCAAGTTATGCGTGTAGTGTTACCGTTGGCTATTTCTATATCTAGGATAATTGGTTTCAACCGAATAAGCGAGATAGAAAATGAAGCATTCAGGGGATTGTCAAGTCTTAAAGAGTTGTAAGTTTGCCGATACAGTATAGAATATAGATATGGAGATCTGTGATTGAACATAATGTCTGTCAACCATAAGTTGTTGCGCCCAAGGTAGAACGCGCGTGTTAAGGTTTCCTTCAAATTTTGAAGTTGCAAAGCTTCAACCTAACAAAATCCCTGCAGCTGTTTAACATTGTTGCAGGCGGCGTTCGTGAACAATTCCGAAGTGGGCTGCCATCTCAGGCTATCCTGTGACATTAAAATGTGACTAACCCCAAATATAATTTTTGGTATGTGTAATTTTTGGGTCATTCTAAGAAGAAATGTAATGTATCTTTATTGTGAAAAACCTCATCCTGTTCAATTTTTTCACTGTCACAGTTCCAGATATGATGTCATTAGGTGAATTTTTGGTACAAAAAAAAACAAAGGAAAACTAATTTGCAATTCACCTAATGACATCATATCCGGAAACTTTGACAGTGAAAAAGTTGATCAAGATGGGATTTTTATTATAAAGATATATTACATTTCGTCTTCGAATGACCCAAAATATTACACATACAAAAAATCATATTTGTGGTTAGTCGCACTTTAATAATTACTGAAAGCTATCAATTTTTATTCAGTGTATGGTAAACTTCGACGTTTTATCAGTTCTGAGCTAGAGTAAATTATCGGTTCAGTTCTGGTATTCTGAACTAATTTTTTATTTTTTACGTTTCCATTGAAGATTCTTGGATCACAACAAATTGGAAAGAGTCACATCAAGAATGTTCGCAGATTTAATATCGCTGCAAAAACTGTAAGTTGTTGACAAGTTGTGAAATTTTACGTGCGCATCCTGTTTCATCGTATCCTGTTAAAGCGCACGTATTTAATATTATCTTTTGGTGTTTTGTATTTTTTTAGTCACATTTACAATAACGCCATCAAGAGAATAGATCCAGGATCATTCTTCCGTCTGCAGGAGCTGAATTTCATGTGAGTCACATGCTTGGTATTGGTGCGTAACTCTAAATGCTTCGTATACTGGCGTTTACAATGGCGTAAACTCATTGGGTAGGGTTAGTTCAAAAACTAAGGGCCCCCAGTTAGGGGACCCCATCAGCCACGGCCTGTCTCCCAGAAAATTAGAAATAGGAAAATGCAAAATTGATAATGCTAAATAATAAAACCTCCATCGACAACGGTAGCTGATTCTTTTATTCCATCTCAAATAAAACAAACGTTATTCTTATAAGTCGTTACATGTATTGGAGACCGTTATTTTTATAGACATGGAATTTTCCAGAACATTCTATAAATATTCAATACAAATACAATATATCCCAGTCAAACAATGACAACAGTCAACAGGGGCCCCCTCACCAAATATGCCTAAGGGCTTCCTCTTCCTTCATTACGCAACGGGCGCGTGTACTGTAACTCTACAGAGATGTGGTTTAAACTGGTTTGTGTACTACTTTAGATCTGCTCGTCACAATAAGTTAAAGCTTATTACTAGAGGAACGTTTGCTGGTCTCAAGTCAGTGCGAATTTTGTAAGTATTTGGGCAGTTTTGTGATCACTTTCAGTTTCAAACTTTGCGGCGAAACAGTGAATACGTTAAAGTCTGCAAACAAGTTGTTACAAATCTGTTCACAAGCTGTCGACAAGTTGTGTTCGCACTGCTTGTTCCCAGTTGTTGTAACAAGTTTGGAACAAGCTGTTAACAACTTTTAACAAGCTTGATGACATTATCAGACTTGTTACAAGGTTGTTCTAACAAGTCTGATACAGTCATGATATAACAAGAATGTTACAAGGTTGACGACACAAGGTTGTAACAATATTGTTATATCAAGACTGTATCGGACCTGTTGGAACAACCTTGCAAAAAGTTTGATAATATCAGCAAGGTTGTTACAAGTTGTTAACAGCTTGTTCCAAACTTGGGACAAGCATTGCGAACACTGGCTTGTTGGCAGACTTGTCACAAGATGTGAGAGTTTTACGTGTAGAGTAAGTTCATTGGCTGAAGACTATTCAGATTAAAAAAATCATACTATAGTTGCTTATTATTGTTGATTTCAAGTCACTTTTCAACGCGCGGTTCCAAGTTCGTTGCGAACTTTCCAATTACGGTTCCATGGTTCGGAAATTGGGCGCGAACTTCGCAACAAAGTTCGCAAGTACATTTCAATGTTTGAACTTCGTTTGTAAACAAATGTTCATAACTTCATACTCAATAGTAAGAACCATTTCAATAAAATACAAACCTTCTTGGTAGCCCCCTGGACCGAGAAGTTTCCATTGAATTGTTAATTTCAACTTGAACTATGAACATTTTTGCAATAGTCCAAACATTGAAATGTACTTGCAAAGTTCACGCCCAATTTTTGAACTTGGAAATGTATTGGCAAATTTTAAACGAACTTGACCTGGCCCTGGGAACCGCACGTTGGAAAGTGACTTGAAATCGACAACAAGATAGCAATATTTGTTTTCTACTGTCACTGACATATTCTACAGATAATTATAATGATTTTTACAGGCAACTCCAGGTTAACGAAATTGAGCACATTGACTCAAAAAGCTTTGTAGATTTAAGGCAATTACGGACATTGTAAGTTACACTTTATTTATTTATCTAACTACTGCAGTATACCGCCGTAAATATTCTTGCGTCACCAAGCACGTTTTGGGCACTAGGCATTTGTTTTATGTTATTCAATTTTAGTTGGGTTTTTTTCTGTTTTATATTTTCTAACAGGTATCTTTACCACAACAAAATAAGTATCGTATTGAAGGACGCGTTTCTTGGTTTAGAAAATCTGGTCGACTTGTAAGCTAAGAATATATTTGATAATTCCAAGTTCCAACATATACTGTATATATATTAAAACACAATATCACCATCATCATATATTTATTGTGACAGTTAACCTAGGATAATATGGTCATTGCAGGAAAAAATAATTTTCTTCCTGGGAGCACAACCTGAAGACAAAAATTTCCTGTAAACCAACGGAGTATTTTTGTGCTAAATCTGCATGTGCATAAACATATAATGTTCAAGCTGACCATGGTTTTAAATTCAAGGAACAATGTCTGTCAACCGTATGTTGTTGCCCCCATAGTGGGACATGGGTGTTAAGGTTTCCTTCAAATTTTCGATAGCAAATCTTCATTCAAACGAATTTCCTGCAGCTGTTTAACATTTCCTGCGAGCAGTGCTCGCGTGCTCGCCTATTTTTTCCACCCCTGAATATGGTAGCCAAGCTAAATGCATGTTCTCAGTGAAAAATGGTTTTATACTCCAGATGATAAATTTGGTCATTTGTATCACAAACAGGCATCTAGGATTCAACATGATCTCAGAGATTGAAGATAATGCTTTCCAAGAACTTAGACGGTTAACAACATTGTAAGTACGGCACGACCCAATTTTGTTCTCTAATGGCCACACCCTTTAACTTTTCGGCCCAAATTTCCGCACGCAATACAAAAGTATACAAAATTTGCAAACTTTGCAAGGCTATATTTTCCTCATTTTACAACATTTTGCAACCAAATGTTGCAATTTTACTCATTCTAGTATGCTCTTTCTAGCTGCATGTAGTGATTTATTTGCATCTCCTTGCCTAGTTTTAAAATTAGTCCATAATGGGAACTGTCTATTAATATTAACCCTGTAAATAGACTATTCTTACATTATATTCCTATTTTGACACTTAAACACCTCATTTTTTGTAACTAACTAGCGTGTTAAATAAAATTCTTCATTCATTAATTAATTCGTTCATTCATTCATTTACTTTGCTTTTTTATTGGTCAGTGTTAAATTAACAAAAAATGTCTTTTAGATATTTGGATTCTAACAAACTGACTAGAATTTCCAAGGGAACTTTGGCAGGACTCAACTCGTTACTGGATTTGTATGTCTTTGTTTATTTGCACACCTTTGTACGAGTATTTATAACATATCAATAGAAGTTAAGAGATGCTTTAATTCTCATATTTTTCTAGATATTTGTATTTTAATCAAATTTCATATGTGGCAAACAACGCCTTTATTGAGAATGCTTTGTTACGTTACATGTAAGTAAAGTGCATTTATATTATAGTGGATGGGTTTCTTGCTGAAGATTTTGAGCGTGAATTTTTTATACATTTATAAGACCTACCCAGAAGTAGTTGCGACAAATGGAACTGTTGGCTCTCCGGCTGCCGAGTAGAAGTAATTAACAATAAAACGACTTGAGTAAGAGTAAAAAGTACTGCAGGCAAAACGTACTTACTACTTAAGTGAAAATCACAAAGTATCCTTAAAATACTTGAAGTAAAAAGTAAAAGTACTATTGTCTGCAGCATGTAGGGGGGGGGAGACTTCTCCAACGCCATGGATTGACAATTACAAAAGACAGAAAACAACACGCATTATATGCGCGCACCTAATATACAATATTTCATGGCATGGTCTACTTTCCAGACCCCGTTGAAGATATAAGAAATCCATTAAATAAATGATGCTTATAAGTAAGTCACAAACAAGAGATCCCAGATGCATGTAGAGGTCCTATTACCTATCCCAAAATTAAAATAAATCCGGAGTAAATTGTGTAAAATTAAACAAAAGTTAGAAAGTAACAAAATACTTCGCCACAAAATGAAAATAACGAAGTAAAATGCTACTTATTAAAACGACTTTGTTCCAAGTAAAAGTACTCCAGAAAAAATTTACTTTGTTACATGCCGACTTGTCAAAAATAGTACTCAAGTACAGCAAAGTACATTTTCTTCGTTACTTGACACCACTAATGGTGCAGCACTCTGAGCTACCTCTGCCAGTTGTCGAGCTCTAACCGCAAGCTTACAGAAAGAAAGATACTTATATACTTATTTTCACCCGTAGAGCTTGGGATGTTCCTACATCACTCAGAGGTCAAGAGAAGTATCAAAACATCTCTGGAAATTCGTTGTTCTGCGATTGTCATGCTATGTATTTTAAGCGATGGTTATCTAGGCACCCTGTGATTGAAGTGTCTTGTTACGAGCCGCAGAAATTACGAGGCGCACCGATGAAAACATTAACCAAGGCAGAATTGGAAAAATGTTGTAAGTAACTTGTCTACAAACTCGACAATTTGTTACAAACCGCACAAGCAGAAAATTCTGTCTGCCACGGTTGGATTTCGAACCGTGACCTTTGAAATGCTAGCTTGACGCTCTACCAACTGAGCTGTACATGGTCAGGCCCGATTGAGAACTGGAAATTATATATGATTTATATACTGAATGTCATAAAACATACTCATTTATATCATTTCAGCATTGAACAATACTAGTTCCGCAAGTGTTGTGTGAGATTGTGATATTGTTCACTCAGTAATATGATGGGATGAAATTTAACAAATATTATTCACCGGAGGTGAGGTGATTATCGGGGAATATTCACTGAGACGAAATTGAGGTGAATATTCCCCGATTAATCACTGAGCCTGAGGCAAATAATTGCTTTTGTATTTTTCATAATTGTTATTAAAATAAATTCAGTCCAAAAAACATAAAGTCTTAAATCCGTCTGACCGTGTGGCGCATAAATTAAACAAGTGCAACGACTCAATAATGTCCACTAATAATAAATTATTAATCCTGAGCTGAATAGAATATATAGAACTAAGAACAATGGCTGCTAGTTTCAAGCACTTTCTTCCAGAAATAATTAAACCTTGACGGTTTATATTAATTAAAAGGACATGCAATCATGACTGATTGAATGCAACAAGACAGCAAAAATTTCACATTTCTACACATAAAATTCCAAATAATTCCACTCACCAGAAAGAGATATATCTGTTTTCTTTACAGCTTTTCTTTGAAGCGAAGCAATATTAGTCACTTTCAACAGTTCAGTGCTTTCAACACGCTTTTTTGAGTGTTTAGTATTCGGCAGCCATGATTGGCGGCCATATTGACATATTTTAAAATGTTGCGCCGAAATTGATACATTGAAATTGATACTTCGTTTAGTCGAAACTTTAAGGCTCGAGCGCCCTGGTTATTATCCCAGATAAAATTTAATGACCTTTAATTCGTTTTCAGGTAGTTCAGACAGAAACCACGGCAGTTTATTGTAGATTACTATCTTGATTTCTTTTTACGTAATTCAGACACAAACCACGGCAATTTATTGTAGAATACTACCTACATTGAACCACCACGTTTGAGATATCTTTTTCAGGTAGTTCAGAATGTACACGTTTTTCTCAAAACGAATTACAAGCTATATACAGCAGTCTCGCCCATGTTGTACAAAATATGTTATACAACACGACCGCTTATGCATGGTATACACACACGTCAAAATGCACAAGTTGTAACAAACCTGCAGCAGACTTATAGCAATGCTGTTCCAACAACTTGTCAACAGGGTGTGTTCGCACTGCTTGTTCCCAGCTTGTTGACAACTTGCTACAAGGTTGTTGAGCTCAACGTCATTGTTACAAGTCGTTCCAGCAACTTGTTATATCGTACGTCCTGCAATTCAACAATTTGTCAACAAGTTGTGAGTGACAACCTTGTAGCAACTTGATAAAATAACAACATTGTTACAACTTGTTGACATCCTTGCTACAAGCCTGTTGCGAAAACACCCTGTTGACAAGTTGTGAGATTTTTACATTCATCGAATGAATTTTTCCCGTCTATTTCTAGACGATCCCCATGTTGAAGCGGACCCAGTAAGCGCCATCGTGAAAGAAGGTGGTCAGGTCAACCTGCATTGCACGGGCACGCCAGCAGTGGAGTTTCTTTGGTACAGAAACGGATCAAAGATGATCAACAACGGAAACTCTCATGTGAGCTCCTTCGGAACACTTTTGTTGAGCAATATCAAGCAATCGGACGCCGGGATGTATGTCTGTGCAGCTAAGAATAAGAAAGGTTTCGCAGTCGCAACTGCATCGTTAAACGTTGGACGTAAGTTGAACTCTGTGTTGGGGCAAAACCTTCCCAGGGGGCACCGATGACGTATTGTTGTAAAAGGGGAGAAGCGTGTTGTACAGTTGATTATATATTATCCGACATGAACGTAGCTAGGATTTATATTTTCAGTTGAGCAATGTTGTATCAAGGGCCTTCGTTGCTTTGAGGGCCCCTTTTGAGCTGGCGGCCCGAGGCAAAGACGCAAAGTGCATCCCCTTCTGTGTACTGGTATAAGAAAATTGAATTAAAATTACATACTAATTACACTAAAATTTTACTAGCTCTCATACTGGATAGATATATCAGTCCAGGCATCCAGTAAAGCCAATCCCTTGGACATAATGATCCAGTGTTACTACTGGAGGAAACCTAAAGTAAAGCAACTTTATTTATGCTGGATAGTTTTATCTGTTTTTAACTGTTCTTCCTAAGGTCCAGTAAGGATCATCTCTTATTGATCCAGTGTTACTACAGGAGGAAACCTAAACTAAACCTAATTTTATTCATACTGGATAGCTCTATCAGTTCTAAACTGTTCTTCCTAAGGTCCAGTAAGGATCATCTCTTATTGATCCAGTGTTACTACAGGAGGAAACCTAAACTAAACTAACTTTATTTATACTGGATAGCTCTATCAGTTCTAAACTGTTCTTCCTAGAGGTCCAGTAAGGATCATCTCTTATTGATCCAGTGTTACTACAGGAGGAAACCTAAACTAACTAACTTTATTTATACTGGATAGCTCTATCAGTTCTAAACTGTTCTTCCTAGAGGTCCAGTAAGGATCATCTCTTATTGATCCAGTGTTACTACAGGAGGAAACCTAAACTAAACTAACTTTATTTATACTGAATAGTTCTATCAGTTCTAAATTGTTCTTCCTAGAGGTC